CCTACCTACCTACCTACCTACCTACCTACCTACCTACCTACCTACCTACCTACCTACCTACCAGTGGTGGGTTTCAAAAATTTTTGGAACCTCTTCTGTAGGTGTGGTCTGCTTTCCAGGTCCACTGGTGGAACCTCTTCTAACCGGTTCGGTAGATTTGACTAACCGGTTCTACCGAATAGGTACCAACTGGTAGGAACCCACCTCTGCTATCTACCTACCCTTCTTGCATTCTACTAATAGTTGTTTTGAAAGAGTGACAGGGAAATATCAAAATTTACCAAATGTGACATTTATGTGGTGTTTATCACCTCTTTTTTGATTGAGTGAGGGATTCGTAGGAATAGTTTGTAATCTAGATCCACATTAAACTATGGATAAAATTGTTATTCTAGAGTTATCTTGTCCTCCAACTTCTAATCCTATTCTGGCCAAGTTAGTTAAGGAAACAACAAACAAGTAATTTTAAAAGATGAATTTTGAGCATTTCTAGATTATTAATTAATAAATAATAAATAACAATGTCTTGGACGATTCCTGGTTCTCCAATGTAACTTACCCACACCACTGGTCTCCACATCTGACTCCCAAATGATTTGAACATCCCCAGTACGGTGTACTTTAACTAGTCGAACACGATACTGCTTGCCTGGCTGCAAATCTGGAATGCTGTATGAGCCCTGGCCAGAACTGGCCTTCCCTACATCATGCCATTGTCCTTTGTCTGTTTGAAATAAAGGGAGAGACAAAAAGGTTGTGGTTGTGTTCCCCACTCTCCTGAACCAGTATGTGTTGCCTTTGATTTTAGTCTAGTAGGACTAGACTACTAATCCGTGCTGTCACGGATTAATACCCCATTTTTCATTATCCTTCAGCTAGCTGTTGGAAAGTAGACTTTACTATGGACTCCCAGTGATTGAAAACCACTTATTTCCTCATAAGGGAAGTAGGAATTTACAAGAAGAGGCCTTCAAAAGGAAGAAACTTGTCCCATTGCAAATCACTGGTTTTGCAACATATAAAATTAGCAATTTCAATAAATCGAGCTTGGCAGGCAGGGAGAATTCCTCGTCCCTGCCAAAGATATTGCTACAGATGATGACTGGAAAGAGGGAAGAAAAAAACTCAATATTTATTTATTTTATTTATTTAAAGCTTTTATATGCCGCCCAATCCCAAAGGACTCCGGGCGGCTTACAAGAAAATATAAAAAACA